GCAGAAACAACGAGAGAATCAAATGCGAAACGTCTTCGGAGGGATACGAGAGCGCAACTTGCAAGCAACTTCGCACGGCGGTTTGAACAAATCACAGTGATGGGCGCTGGTTTGAAAACCGAGTAGCAGCTCTTTAAGAGCAGCATACTCGAGGCTGCCGCCGAATGCTGCGGATTCAAACAAGCTGGCCTGGCGACTGGAGGTCAGAAAAGAACTTCCTGGTGGACAAGAAAGGTAAAACTGTCAGTTAAAGAAAAGGCTGCATTCAAGAGATAGCTTGGAAGCAAAGAACCTTCTACTCGCATGCGATATGTAGAGGCGCGCAAGACGGCAGTGCGAAAGCCAACGCAGATTCCTGGGAGAAGTTTGGTCAGGTGTTGGAGTCGAATTTCTAGACGGCAAACATGGTATTCTGACAGACCATCCGCCACCTCCATGATGAAAAGAAGGGCAGTCAAAGATTTTTGAAGACAGTTACTGACTCCTTCTTACCAAGACAGGGGGTATACTTGGTGAAGGAGAGAGCTTTGAGCAACTGCAGGAAGACTCCTCTGTGGAGCTGCAGGGAACGGATATTAGTATAACTGTGGATGAAATAGTACAAGCTGTGAAAAGTGGAAAATCTGTTAGAAATGAAGAAATTCGCCCTGAAGTGCTCAAAACATTAGGCGAACAAGGCATATGGTGTACACGTGTCTGTCAAACTGCAGTGGCTATGGGGAGGACACCAGCGGACAGGAAAACGGAGGTTATTTTACCCCTGTTCAAGGGAGACAACGGGTAGTGCACAAATTATTGGGGCATTTCTTCATTGAGCCTCCTTGGTAAAATCTACGCAAAAGTACTATAAAGAAGGTGCAGTGAATAAAGGACTCCAAAATATAAGAAGAGCAGTGCGGTTTTCGATTTGGCCGAGGCGTATCTGACTGGATACTTTCCTTCCACTAGATTGTTGAGAAATCGTGCGAGTTCGACTGTTCGGCGTATATGTGCTTTGTGGATGTAGAGAAAGCCTATGACCGCACCCTGCCCAGCAATCTGTAGGCAATCTTACGAACGTGTGGGGAAAATGAGCAGCTGTTACCGGCTATCCAGACACTATATGCAGGTAGCAGGCGCTGCGTCAGAGTAAATGGCGTTAAGTCGCAACCTTTCATCGTTCGCACTGGTCTCCTCCAAGGCTGCGCCCTGCACCCTCTCCTGTTTATGCTGTATGTGGACAGAATAGTCAGGATCAGCCAAGGCGATGAGGGTATCGCTGTTGGAGATGTGAAGTCGAGAAAGTTACTGTTTGCAGATGACCTTGTTTTATTAGAATCTTCTGAAACTGATCTTCCGTGCTCCCTTGAAAGGTTCGCAGCCGAGTTCGATGTGACCGGCATGCGTGTGAACGCATCTAAAACGAAAAGCCTAGTGCTTTCTCGTTCTCCTACCCATTGCTCCACGAGAACGACACCACCAGTGGGAGCTTAAAGTCGGAAATTCGAACATATTCTCACTCAGAGGAATAGAGCAAGAACTAGTTGATGAGGCCATAAAGTAAAAACTCGACACCGTTGAACTCTCATCAACGAAATGTCCAGGCTCTGGATTCCTGAACCTCAATGCATGGAAGCTGTCCTACTCAGGCGTCGATATCACGACTCGCTCTCAGGCCGGTGTTGGCGTTCTGGTTGAACCCAACTTTGCCGACAGAATTTTCGATTGGAAGCCTCTCACCGGAAGGATGGTAATCTTCCGACTGAAGCTACAACAGGCTAAAGCGATAACCTTGGTACAGGTCTGTGCGCCCAATTTCGAAGGAGAATATGAGGCCTTCCTTGAGGAAGTGCAGTGTGCTCTGTCCGAAGTGCCGAATACAGAGTCCCTCTTACTGATGGGCGATTTTAGTGCGCATGTCGGAGTAGACGTTGAAAAGTGGAATGGCGTGATTAGAAGAAACGGCTCGAGCGACCTCAACAATAACGACATGAAGTTTTTGCGGTTTTGTGCGAACAACCGACTGTCCATTATGAACATCTTATTCAACCATCGAAGAGTGCATCAGTACACCTGGCACCGGGAAGCCTGTGCACACAAATCGATGATCGATTTGATAATCGTATCGTCCGATTTAAGATGCCTGGTAACATACGTTAGTGTGAAGAAAGACGCGGAGCTATCAACCGATAATCACCAAGTTGTTGCCACGCTGCGCTGTAAGAA